GCAATTTTCCCAGCCACTCTCCCCCGAGCCTGTAGCATTGCAGGGGATTGTAGTGACCAAAGTGCAGGACCCGGCACTTAGCTTTATTGAACCTAATAATGTTTTTATAAATTATCTGGACACAGGAATCAGATGTACATTAAGGAAGTTTGGACATAATACGAAACTAGGAGAAGCTGTGGGCTGCCTTAAGGGTAGAATGGTGTTACAGAGAGATCTGGTTAGGCTGAAGGGCTGGGCAATTAAGAACCATAGGAAATTTACCAAGAGCAAGTGCTGGATTCTCCACCTGGGACAGGGTAATCCTCATTATATGTTAAATTTGGGGGATGTCATACAGGCTGGAGAGAAGCCCCACAGAAAGAGATCCGAAGCTTAGAGTTGATGGCAAGTTGAATATGAGTCACAGTGTGGCCTGGCAACCAAAAGGGCCAACTGCATCCTGGGGTGCCTCGAGCACAGCATTTCTGGCCAGTTGACGGAGGTGGTTGTCCCACTCTGCGCTGCGCTGGTGCAGCCCCGCCTAAGTTCTCTGTACGGTTCTGGGTGCCTCAGTATAGCAAAGACATCAAACTATTTGAGTGTGTCCAGAGGAGTGCAACCAAGATTGTGAAAGGTCTTGGGGGCAAGACTTATGAGGAGCAGCTGAGGTCACTTGGCTTGTTCAGCTTGGAGAAGGCTGAGGAATGACCTCATGGCCGTCTACAACTTCCTTAAGGAAGGCAGCAGGGGGAGAGGTAGTGATGTCCGCTCTCTGGTGACCAGTGACAGGACGTGAGGAATTAGAATGAAGTTGCATCAGGGGAGGTTTGGACTGGACATTAGGAAAAAGCTCTTCACTGAGAGGGTGGTTGGTCACTGGAACAGGCTCCCCAGGGAAATGGTCATGACACCAAGCCTGTCATAGTTCAAGGAGCATCTGGACAACGCTCTTAGTCATACGGTTTTGTTTCAGGTAGTCCTATGAGGAGCTGGGAATTGGACCCAGGGATCCTTATGGGTCCCTTCCAACTTGAGATATTCTGTGATTCTAGCAAGTTTAGATCCAGAGAGTCTTTTCAGAGCTGCACCTGCAGTCTGTGTCTTTGGAGGGGTGCAACTTTGCTGTATTTAAGTTTTTTCTGTTTCTTGGACTCAGAGCAGCTCTCAGAATCTAGGTGACTTAGTCTAAGAAATGTGTAAGAGACACCAAATGAAGTGCCTAGGAAAGCAGCTATTTATGCATATTTGAAAAGTTGGTATGTCACCTGATCCAGACATTTCAAAGTATTTGACATGCAGATACTCTTTCTTCAAAATTAGATGTGTAAAAAGACCTCTCTAAGCTTTACTCATATATTACATAATTAATTTTTCTGTTTCAGCAAAGCACATAAATGTTTTTTGATACTACTTTGGTTTTCATAAATGAACTTATTAAAGAAAATATTTCATGAGACACAGTAGAACAAGCCTCTGACCTTGTGTGAAGAAGCTGATTTTTAAATGGAAGGAGTATTTTATGTTTTAAATTTTATTTGGTTATATCAGTTTTTTAATAGTTTGTGACTTTTCAGCATTTCTTTTCTTCACTTATTTAAATGTTTAGAGTATTAATAACAGAGTATCCTTTGTGCTCCGTAAAGGTTTTATAAATTGAGCAAAGTTTTTCTGTTATTTTTTTCAGTGCAGTCAGATTGATTTGGTGTGTTACAATCACTTAGATTCTTAGATTCTAATCTGCAGATGTGCATTTCTAAATGCAAGCTGTGCACAAAATAGAAGAACAAGGATGATATAGCTATC